TGTTTAGTTTTGCCACCTACACCTTTATGGACATCGCCCTTACCCGGTGGAACTACTATATAAAAATCATAGGCATTGATTTCCTCTCATTCCACGACTTAAGAAACACTGAAGAGGATACTCATAGGAGTCTACTACCAAAAAAAAAATAGAATGTGGAAATTAGAACAAGCACTGGTGGAAGAAAGCTTATAATTAAAACAGTGAAATCGAGCATCTTGAGAGAAACTGCCCAAGATTAAAGAACCAAGAGGTAAAACTCAAGTCAGAGAAATAGTGATCAAAACAAGGAATGAAATCCAAGAACCATCGGTAGTGACTAGTGTGTTTCTTATTAACCACTTGTATACTGAAGTATTTGTAATTCATATTTGGATCAAAATATTCGTGAAACCTAAATTTAAACCTATTGTAAGTTATGAACCTAGTAGTTTGGAGAAAACCTATAGAGTAGAGATGTAGCACCTAGAATCCAAGAGGCCAAGAAAGGAAAGGAAAAACCACAAGGAAAGAAATGTAACTCATCGAGTCTGGTGGATGACTCGACGAGTAGGAGTGGATTTTAGGTCGCGGGTTAAATGACCTACTCGACGAGTTGCAGGACCAACTCGGCAAGTTGGTCTAGCTTTGGGAAACCCTAAATCTAGGTCTTGGTGTCCTATTTAAGCATCTTATTCTCCTCCCATTAGCCTCATTCTCAGCCCCCATATCCAAAACCCTAGATCTCAAAACCTAGTGCATCCTTGAACTTGTGAGCTTGTTTTTTAGGGCTTGGTGTCTTATTAAAGACTAGAAGAAGAAGAAGGATCTGGAAGGTTCAGGGAGAATATTGTAGATCCAGTAACACCATCTTATTTCCACCATTTTCTAGTAATCAAGTCTTCAACTTGGCTTATGGTTTCCTACATCTCTATATGTCCATTTTATGAGGATTTAGGTCCATGAAGTTTGATCTATGGGATATAGACGTCCCAAGTAAAGATCCTTTCAGATCTGGTGTCCCTAAGGGTGGATAAGGCATAAAGGTGCAAACTTTATGCCATTTGAAAAACCCCAAGTAAGCTTTAAGAGGTTGTTATGGTCTCATGAGCCTAGAAGGCCATGCATGGATGAAAAGGCAGAGACTTTACGTGGTTAACTGATATCTAGGCCCTAGATCTTGGTCCTCCTGCTTCGGTTTTGAGCAATAAGGATTTTAGAGAAGGATTTGTCTCCTAAGGAGCTAGGGTTTGAGCCAAACCCATCAAGAAAGATTGGGAGTGGTAAAGATAGATACATTACATTTAAGAGGTCATTTACAGTGTGTAGACGAAGTTTGTGGTTTAGATATGAAGTGTATGGGCTTAATCTGTTAAGATGGACCAATCAGATTAAGGGACTTGGTGAGCCCAGGAAAAAACTCGATGAGTCGAAGTGAGTTGTCCTGTTTTTGTTCATGCGAGAACTCGGTGAGTCTGAGGGCTGACTCACCGAGTTGATTCGATAAAGCGCAACCATGAGTAACTAGGGAACTCGGTGAGTCAGGAGCTGACTCGATGAGTTGGATCATGATTTTAGGATTCTGAGTTTTAGAACTCGGCAAGTTGAGGGAGCAAATCGGTGAGTTGAGTTAACTTTAAGCGTTGACTTGGACTGTTAACCTTGACTTTAACCATGGTTGACCTAGTTGAATTGAGGACATTATCGGGTTAAGTATCATTTTGATACTAATAGCTCGGGAGCCGAAGGAGCAACAGTTCGGGGAATTGCCAGTTAGCAGCTAGTGGAGTATCAGTAGGACTTCAGTAGTGCAAGGTGAGTTTTCTCCAGTAGGAATGGGTCGAAGGCACCAATACCGGCCCATTTATGTATGTTAGAGTACAACGGATTTGGATTTAATGTCGGGGTTAGCCTGATGAAGTTTATATGTTCTAGATTTCAGTCTGATGCTGAGCGAGGCCCGAGGAAGGTTTTTATGTATGTTTCCGAACTACGGTTCGAAGCCGGGTGGTACCCGAAGCAGGAATGCATTTTTAGTTACATTTGTTGTCTTTGTGATACTTGTATATGCTTGGTAGGAAGGTGAGTGTGGGCAGAGGCCCGTATCTCATCACTAGTTGAGTATGGATAGGGTTCCATATCTCATTAGTAGCAGAGTACGGTGGGGCCATGATAGGCAGGGCCTTGAGACTAGTAGTTATAGTGTAGTGATTACTTGTTATGTATTAGCATGATATACATTTTGTTTGTATGTGTATAGCAGGCGGGGCCCAGAGATAGGTGAGGCCTAAGAGAAACAGATATATATACCAAGCGGGGCTCAATGCCAAGTGGGGCCTGATGTCGGGCGAGGCCTAATGCCGAAACAAGTCCGATTTCGGAAAAGTCCCGATGCAGTAGGCGGGGGCCCAATATATGTGTTTGTGTATATGGTATGTGGTAGATTCGGGAACTCACTAAGCTTCGTGATTATAATTTTCAGTTTTGATTCAAAGTACTTCCGGTAGCAGAGGTAAGAGCTTAGGATAACTACATAGCACACACCATAGTTTTCAGCTTGGGATATTTATACTTTGATATATTTGACAAATGTTGTGATATTTTTGAGATACACGATTTATGATTTTTATGCATTGAATGATAATTATGGTTATATTAATGGTTTAAAACAAAAAATTTTGACTGTATTTTTGGGATGCTAAAAGTTGGTATCAGAGACTTGGCTTGAGGGATTCAGGTACAATTTCGGGGGTTTCTGAATTAAATTATATAACACTTAATTAATATTACGACACGACTGATTAAGATTTAATAACTTACATGTAATAAGTTATTTATTTAAACCATTTGTTCTTGTACGAAAACATAATATGCATGTGGAGGAGTTTGCCATACTAGTTAAATATCGGTTCCCATATTAAGTAAGATAATACTTAAACAATACCATAATAAGATTTTACAAATTTTATAAGTTCGAAACTTATGAGTTTTACATGTAAACTATACAAATGTTTGTACAAGATTTCTATAGTAAAGTTGGCCATTTTATGTTCTCACAAGATGCGATATGACTTATTTTATATAAATTTGCACTCAAAATCCTTATATCAAAAGCATTTTGGTCATGAGAACCGTATAATATTTTATATAAGTTTGACTCACTTATATGTATTTTGCCAAAATTTTAAACTTTAGATTTGAACGCATGAGGTTTCTAAATGAGACAAAATACATTTTTATAACTCAATTATTTTATACTTTTGATAGAAAGGTGTGTATTTTATAAAAGCTGGTCATTCAGATAAATTTTATATAACACTTTTGGTTATAAAAATACTTCGTGTCAAAACCTGTAAAACTCACCAACAATTTTATTGACGTATTTAAATGCATGTATTATCAAGTTATTTAGCATGTCGGAAGTATTCACTTCGAAGGCTCTCTGTTATCTTTATTATATCCTTGTAAACGTTGAATTGTTAGGTGTGTCTCTCGACTTGTGAATGTAATTTCTATTTCAATAATCATAGAAGATTATGCTTGTATTGTTCAATGTATGTTCAATAACTATGATTATTGGTTTATGTTGCGTACCTAGGCGATTCAGTCGGCGGTCGGGGGTGTGACACTTTAGTTTTATAGTTTTTCTGTGAAATGGTCCTTACGAAACTTTTTTCCTTAAGATAGTCCTTACAGAGCAAACTTTGAACACGAATCGTCCTCACTGTGGATGTTTGTTAGATGGATTCGTTAAATTGAAAGAATTTTAGATAAGGACTATCTCTGCCATTTTGTGAAACGTGCTTACAGACCATTTGTGAAATTTTACACAAGAACCATTTGAAATATTATAATTTTAGTCTCTTATTTTTTTTTTCTCTTTTAATACTTTTTATCCTCTTTTTTCACAACTTTGTTATTATATATTTTTTAAATATGTAAATAATTTGTGTTGTCTAGATTTTATCTAAAATATTTAAATTACAATACATAATTAAATATTTTTGTTTTCTATTTTTCATCTAAAAATATTTGAAGCGTAAAAACATCATTTTATTACTTTTTAATATTTGTATATGATGTAAGTTTTAAAATTTATCTTCATTTATCTTATACATATATATTAAGTTTTATGAAAAAAAAACATGATGTATTATTATAAAAAAAATATGTTTCTATAAAAAAAATAGCATGTTGGTTTTTTATTTTAAAAATATAAGTATTTGGTTTTGAGTTAAAGATTAAAAAAAATCTTTCGCCTTTGATAACATAATATAAGTAAAATTAATTTTCTACTACTTTGATATAAAACTTTGACATTTAATTTTTAAAAATTATTAAATTTTATCAATTTTTGAATATATTCCCTAATAAGACATAAACTTTTCAACGCAAAATAAAATTAAAAAAAATGTATGTTAGCTAATACCTACCTATGCTGCTACAAAATATATTCCCTAATACGACATTAATTCAGTTTAATTCATTTTATTTAAATAAAAAACAAATTTTTTAACAAAATTAATGCCATATAATTTTCATTTAATTTTGTTCAATATGACATTAATTATGTTTAATTCAATTTTATATAAGTATTAGCTAATATATGGTTTTTTTGTGTTGAAAAGTTTGTCTTATTAAGGAATATATTCAAATTTTGAAAAACTAAATAAGTTCTCAAAATTAAATATCAAAATTTTATATCAAATCAATAGAAAATTTATTATCCTAATATTATGAAATCAAAACCGAAATATATTTTTACCTTTAATTCAAAACCACGTACTTATATTTTTGAAATAAAATAGCACCACACTATTATTTTTATAATAAACTTTTTTTTTAATAAAAACACATCATATTTTTTCATAAAAATAAATATATATTGGTATAAGATAAATGAAGATATGTCTAAAAAATTACATTTTAAAAAATAAGAAATAATAAAATGATATTTTTATGCTTCGAATAGATTTAGATACATAGGATGTAATGATAAAAACCACACCATATGACATAAATTACCTTTTCTTGAAAACAGAAATTTCATCTATGTCGGAGTTAATGAACAATCTTGAGGATGTATAGTAGGTGTTGACACTGGGGCGATCTATAAAAAAAATTATAAATATTATTTAAATATAACCGATGGTCTATAAGACAATGTATAACTAATGTAAAAATTATTATAAAATTTTAATTTTTTTGAGTAATTGAGTTTACCTCTCCAAACATTAATTTGCGCAAACTGAAGTATAACAATGATTTGAAGATTGTGTGGATTGTCTTGTATATACTCTTGCATTTGGTACGCATAATCACCCCACAAAGCCAAGCGTATTTCCAAACCACTAACAATGCAACAACAGTTATTAAGTTAATTATATATAAACATATAATCTTTTAAGTATTACATATAAATATATTGAAAAACATACTTTTCATTCTGGATATGGATGTGAATCTTGTGTTTGGACTTCTCAGTGCTTTCTCTTGCCATTTCCCCAACAGCAACAACCAATCCAATAACATCTAAGATATAAGAAAAATATGAATGAAGTGGTGTTGAGAATATGGAAACATCATATCATATCATATATAAACATTAAATATGAAAACTTGAAATTTCATTAAGTAATAAATATAATAAATAAACATACCGAGTGACAAATTTTGAGGATGAACCATTGACAGCACAGATTGAAAATCAACAAAAGAAAAACCAAATTTAGGCTCGCTAAATTGGGTACATTCTTTAACAACGGTTTCTGCACAAACGTGAGTTTTTGATCTTGGGGAATTAACCTAAAAGTATTAGGCTTCAGAGATGCAAAGCTTGGAGATGTGATGTAATATGACTTCCCATCTTTTAAATTTTTTTTGAATCGATAGAGGAATTTTTTAGGGACCGATGCTTGTATTTTGCTCCCCTAAAAACACAATATATTATAAGCATTAAACATTAAAATAGATAAATATTTATATTTAACACATACGTAAAGATATATATAACATACTTGTTCATCGACCAAGATTAATTCAATGGACCATATTTCATTCTTGTTGTAGAAAGACATTTGCTTCCAATGGTTTATGACACGAACCTTGATACTCAAATCATCCCTTGTTACATCCAAGTCAGCTATGAAACTAATATTTGTTGTAGACATATCCCTACAAATATCAGAATCCATTCTATAAGTTAGATGCCAAATAATTGGTAACTACAAGAGAGTATTAGTGAAATTATCCGTAATAGTATATATGTACACTTCTTCAAAGACATAAAGATGCATACATAGCAAAGATGAATCAATAAACACCTTATATTCAAAAAAATTCAAAATGGTAAAATTGAAGAAAAATATAAAAACTGTATGGAGACATAAAAGCTTTACCAAAATATGAGAATTTGAGTAAAACAGAATAAAAAACAGATGAATATTTAAGCATCGTACGTATGATAAGTTTATTTAAATCAATAACTTAGTGTACATAATTGTGTTGAAAACATTAAAGTGTGTATATTCTGTCAATATTTAAGCAGAGTACTTATCAAAAGTTGTTTTAAATGAATAAGTTATGAAAAAAGCTGCAAAAGATGAATATTCATTACATAAACATCAGTTTCTTGAGTATAGATAATTCATAAAGAAAGAAATTGAAAACAATCCCAAACTTTGTAAAACTGTTTTTCCGAAAAATTAAAATGATGAATCAAAAACATAAAAAACGGATGAATATTTAAGCATTGTACTTATCAAAAGTTGTTTTAAATGAATAAGTAATGAAAAAAGCTGCAAAAGATGAATATTCGTTACATAAACATAAATTTCTTGAGTATAGATAATTCATAAAGATCGAAATTGAAATATAGTCAGTGAAATATAGACATCTTAATTAATGATTAAAAGATATAGATGAGTGGCAATAGAAATGAAACACAAACCTTTTATTATTATCATTGATTGTGCTTAGTTTTTCCTGTTCCATGGAAGTCATCAGAGCTCACAGAGAATGTCGTCAAAGAATGTGTGAAATATAATACTAAGTGATAGTAAAACCGATTTATTATTATATAAACTGATATATGCGTATGCCTTTATTTTGAACCTGATTTTCAGGGATTTATCTACGGTATATTTGAATCAGAAGATCAGAAGATTGGAGGATAATTGACAGGCATAAATTTCGGTTGCTGAAATTAAGGGATACAGGATCGTGATCTTCAATCTTCAATATTGAATAAGGAATTTTGAATTTTGAATTAATTTTGGATATGGATTACTAAATTGACGGATTTACTTTTTCTGAATGTGTACATGGGCGGGAATTTTTTTTGGTTATTGTTTATTGTGATGCCACGTGTCAGATTTGTAGCTTAATAGTTTGACAAGTGTAATTTAGGAGAGGTTTTTATTAGGATTAGAGATTATCCCATAATTATAAGATAATGACTACCGATAGATATTTTTACCCATAAACTTTTGGGCTTAATTAGTTTCAAAATAACTTACCTTTTTGTTGTGTTATTAAACTAAATTCATTATTTTTCTCTTTTTGTCAAATTAGCTTAAATTTTTCTTGTGGTTAATTTAAAAAGGCTATGTTAATTATAAAAAGGGATCAACTTATTATGATCATGAACATATTCCAACAGATTTACCATTCGATATATGACTTTTCCCATTGATGTACTATTATCAATCATCAAGGGACACTAATTACCATTACAAGCACTAAATTTGAGGAAGAGATACCACGAGATCACTCTCAATAAATCAAGTAATTATATGATTGCGAGTAAGTATTATATATCCTTATAAAGCTAGTATTTTTTTTTCTTGAATTTCATGCATTTAAAACCTCCATAAAAATTTGCCAACACCTCATGCATTTGAAATCTCACACCCTTTCACCTTCAAAGTAATTAATCACACATAATTTCATTCCAAGAAAATCGCACACTCTATAAGTTCAATACCTCATGCATTTCAAACCCCACAGCCTTTCACTTTCATTATATATGTAGTTATATTAGTACATTTTTCTTACAAAAAGTCGTCATTTGGTTGAAGATATTATGATTCAAAAGTTTTCGTATAGTTGAAGCATTTACGATCCAAATATTATGATTTGAAGAAATGAGTTATGTCGCATCGATGGTAATTGTAATATGATTTTTTCTGTCAACCAAAACAAATAAAGCTTTTCTATTCTTTCTTTATATTCAATTTCTCATTTGACCTTTATATGTATATGATTTGTATGTATTACTCAATTTTGAATGTGACTTTCCAAACATCAATGTTTTGCTTGGAATATATTTCTCATTTTTCTTTTTCAAGAAAAACATTTTAATTGCAGGTTAGTGAAAAATTGTCATAAAGTTTCTATGGTTGAATGGTGTTCAATAAAGAAAGAAGATTTAGAAAACGGATATAGGTGTTATTTATTTATTTATTTATTTATTTATTTATTTAAACGTATATTTATGTAACATTTTTATTTATATATTTAACCACCTAATGTTTTTATTTATTTGATTGTAGTTTTTCTATTTTGATTATGTTTATTTTCTATTATTATTATTTTTTTTTGGTTATCCTACAAAACATATTTACAAGACAATATTTAAAAGATAACACAAATTTTAACATTTGATACATAATTATGATGATTTATCATGATATGTTCTTCATATGAAAGTAATTTATCCATATTACTACGACAAGAATTACATATGACATTTACAAAAATATATATTACATGTGATTTGTTTAACATATATATGCACCTATGTATGTTATAAATTTATAATTAAATATATTTATGTTTAATAATTGAATTGATTAAAATGATGCATCAAAACCATTTATTTAGACGAATATAATAATAATAATAATAATAATAATAATAATAATAATTTCCTTATCTAATAAATGAATAATGTTATTCTCCTCTTGACATGTGTCATCTTATTAAACCTCCTAATTAATGCATATTTTATTCTCCTTTTATCATGTATCATCATATTACATCTCTTAATTAATACATGACATTTGTAAACCTGTTGATTATCCATTTCAAATTTCAAATTTTAAATTTCTCATTCTAATTATATTAAATTAATAACATTTGAATAAAAATTAAAATAAACTTACTACATATTATAAAGTGATATAATTTCAAATATTTATTAATCAATGATTAAAATTTATATAACTAAAAAATCTCTTAATTAATAATTTATTTAAAATAAATGATTAATAAATTTAAGTTTTTATTTTAAAATTTTAATTAATTGTATAACTGTAGTTCTCCCGGGTTATAAACTAGTAATAATAATAAATACACATTTTTAAGTACTGTATTCATTTGAAACTCACACTACAGCTCAAGAATTTTCTAATTTATGTATATTTATTAGTTACAACTTAAGAGTTTTGAACTTATAATTATTAATTATTAATCACTAATAACTTTTTATTTTCTTTTCTTTTATAAGGTTCTAAAGTTTTGCTCATTAAAAACATTAATGTATATGAAGAGATTTATGATTTAAATATGAAAAGTTAATATAAATGTTATAATAAATATTTTAGTATTTTTATGTTATTAAAAGTTGTAGTGTTTATTTTTCATATTTTTTATTATTCGTTGTATATATATATTTTTTTAATACACATATTATAATAGATGTTTTTGTATTTTTATATTACTAAAAATTGTAGTTCATATTTTTGTTCATATATTTGTTATCCGTTATATATAGATTATAATACGATTGATATATAATTTACACAAGTTTAAACGGTTTATAAAATTATCAAATAATTGTATATATCACAAAAACTTAAAAATTAAAGCTATAATCATCATATCATACTGTATTATAAAGGAAACATTTTTTTTCTTTCACCACATTCATTTGAAACTCCAAACTTTTCATATTTTCATACAATATACTTAGTTTATTAACTTAAATATGCTTTTAATTGTAAGCATTATCATAAATGAGAGAATTTATAACTTATAAATATGCTATACTTAATTTGTTAACTTCAATATATAGTTCAATAAATAACCTGCATTAATATATCAAATAAACTTAAAAATTTAGTGTAAAATTTAAAACCTAAAGTAAAATATCAGATAATGTTTAAAAAAATTTCAATATATATTTTAACATAGTTAAAAGGAAAACATTAAATATAGTAATAATAATAATAAAAGAACCTAAATTGATGAATCAAATTAACTAAAAGGTGTCTGGAAAATTATATTCTAACAATATATTTTTAATCTACACCGGGCAATGTGTGAGAATTCGTCTAGTTAAGATAATAAAAAGATGCAAAAAGTATTCATGTTACCTCAATTCTACATATGTTAGGTATTTCTAGCTTTGGAGTGAGCTTGGTGCGGTTCGGTGCGGTTTTGCTCAATACCGAACTGTACCGCAACTTCGGTTTTTTGAAGTTTAGAAATTGCACCGTTCGGTTTTTATGTGGTTCGGTTTTTGCGGTTTTTATTGCGGTTCATTTTTTTCGCTGTTTTTTGTCAATTTTTTTTATTATTATTTTTTGTTTTGCCTTTCGGTTTTTTTGTAGTTTAACTTTTATTATACAATCACCTCTTGGTTTGAAATCAAATGACATAACCATTTATCAAACATGTTTCTAATG